GCTCATGGAAGCGAGATATCGCCATCCGCGTGCCGCGAGTGCCCAGTGCCGTGCTGATTGGCAGTCCATATGCCAGGGGCTGCCCGTTTCCGTCGCCTACCGATGTGGACATGATGCTTATGGAGAGCGACGTAGAGCCCCAGAAGTATAACCACCCGAGCAACAACTTTGTCTCGCCGACCCTAAGTGAGCAGGAAGTGGACTCGCTCGAGTGGATCGACAACTTTCTACCTTCATTCGAGGCAGCCCCTCAGCAAGACGAGCCAATGTTCGTCGGGAACACCGTGGACGTGACCGCGAGTGCACTCAAGCGCCAGACGACGCATTATCTTTTCCCCTCGCTGCATTCAGTAACAGGAGACTACGTGTGTCTGACTTCCATGTAAAAAGACGTCATTGCCTACCAGTATTTGTCAGTAAGCTAATAACGCGCAGCAAGTGAGTTTGACATCAAATAATCTAGACTCGATTATCGAAAATGAACATGTACTTCAGTAAAACCTGTCCTACCTGATATGATACCTGGACGACTCCTCTATTAGGTATAGCAGCATATCATGTTACTCAGGTCGTCTTCAGTAAACAGGTCATTGCTAGAGTTATAAGGTCGGTTAAGGGCGCCAATATCACGCTTATGAACGAGATGAGGAACATGTCGGCTTAGAGAAGCATAAAATGCAAATGTACTTCGCTGTCCGTTTCGCAGACATATTATACTGAAACGGTCTAATGGATTTAGGTATGTAAGTCTCTCCTGGACTCATAGATAAGCAATCACTTGTTAAACTAGGTCATTCAACGCTTCCTTACCTACATGTAGCCGCAATTTCATGTATACAAAATAATTTTATGTCATAATATTAAAATGGCAAAATGTTATAAGGTAGGCCTCCACAATTAATAATATCGACATCATGAATACTTGTGAAAATGCAATGGAGTTTCTGAAAGCACAATCATTTTCAGAAGGTCGTTCGCCGACCAGGCCCTAACACGATAGAGTTTTGTTTTCGAGGAAGGACCATTGTGCCAGACTAAAATTTAGTCCGGACAAGTTACAATTTTTGGTACATACCTATTTTAGGTTGCCTGCGGAATCGTATGTGTTCTCGACGCAGTCGAAGAAAGATACAAGCAGTTTCAAGACTGCTGGTTGCTGGTTATTGACAGAAAACTAATTACATGTTTTCCACGGCCACTTCGTAGTCGTAGGCTACACAAAAACACTTTACGAAGAAGAAGCAGCAGGGTACAGGCTGAGTAGGTACAACCCGACCGGGCAAAGCAAGCAAGTCGGGAATGGGTATTCGAGTTTAGGCTGGACACGGCTGGTAACACAATACACCTCACTTATTATTAAAAGAAAACACTTGCTGTCCTGTCTTCTCGTGAAATGAAAGAACAGCAAAGCCAAAAAAAAATTGGACCTGAGTGAGTTATATAATGTACGACAGGATATCAGGTTTTGAAAGGTTTATTTAGAACAGGTTTTACTGCATTCATACAGTACATGTACGAAAAGATCGCGCCAAAATAGATCATGGGCCACACGAACTTTTTTTTCAAAAAACGTTTGCTACATGTGTTAAAAATGGCTTGTTTACAAGCGGGGCATCCTGAGGATGCAACGTAAGGATGGGATGACCCTCTGATTCAGAGCCTGAAAGATCGATGACTGGGCCAGCCAGTCCCGGAAGCCGGGCCGAAATCCGGCGGGTCCCGCCGCGGGAGGAGATCCGATGAATGCACAGCGAGCTTCAACTTTGCCCCAGACAGTCTGTAAAGGATTTGGAAGCCTCAAATTAGACCAAATAGTATTGAGACGACGTTGGTGTGGCAACAATACTATTGTCAATAGTGGTGGCGTTTCCGCTCCACACTTCGGCTTGGATCCTAATTAAAGATCCTGTACCATTGGTAATTTACCAATGGTAAATTATCAAAGGGCCTTTGGCAAAGGCTATGCAGCGAGACGCAGCGCTCATCCCAGAAAAGTGTAGGCTGTGAAGAGCTTCTCAGCTGCAGCGACTGATTTATTTTATATGTGTACATGTACTTCGAAGCTCGAAGTAATAAATACTGGGTGGATAATGAAAATTACGTGTAAACCGCTTTGATTCGAGAATCATAATGCTAGCGGCGGTCGTCAAACTCATTCATCTACGTGAGTCTTAGATATTCATGAAGCGCTGGTGCCGTCATCTTATCTGAAGACTATTTTGTGTCATTGTGATTTTTGTCGTCCCAAATCAAAGAGCAGTCCTTTTAATTCGACGATTTAGTTTACAAAAGAAAACCGCACAAGATTGAAAAGCTTAGCTTAATTTCAACCCCGTACAAAGCGGTGTCGGGTGTCCCAAGTTGGGACTGCCAACCTGTCGCGCTCGATTTTTGATCCTTAAATCGGGGCCTTAAGGGAATTAACAACTTTAAAATGACAAATGGTGGGGGTAATGCCCTGGACTGGTAATACTCACATCGGAGTTAGCAGCCGCTGCCTCCTGCGATGCGCAAGCAGCTAGTTGACTCGAACAGACTTAGGATGTTAGTCATCAATGTCCACGCCAAAGAGAACACGAGATAGCTGATAGTCAAAATTCCCCAGAACTTGCTCTTGCGGTTCTCGCGCTGCATCTTGTGAACCTCTTCCTTTTGCTTCGGCAGCCAGTACACGAAAACTACTGACAGCAAGTTGAACGCATAGGCGATCAGGTACGTGTACGTGACCTGCGTCCGAACGTAATGGTTGTCCTGCTCGATGAACGTACGGCCAATGTCAAAGTAGCCGTCAATAGACTTCGTGATCACAGTCGCGAAGGGAGTCCCAACAGGTTGAGTTGTGACGCCGAGTCCAAGCAGCGTTGCTTCGAATCCTTTCTGGTTCTCAATCTCAACCATGAAGAGCTGCGTTACATAGTCACCTGCAGCGGCTGGCACTTCACCCACAAGTGGAACACCAAGCCAGAACCACTGGCTACGGTACACGTCCCAAATAGTGAACAGAGTAGGGAAGGCGTCGATTATCACAACACTGATCTGACAGACCATAATGATGTAGCGCCAATTCCAATGCAGACCCTGCTTTTTGATCACATACACACCACCCAGCGTCAAGATTGCCGTGAGCATGCTTGCAATACCCGAGTTGAGCGGCTCGACCTTTGCCGAGTCACTTTGGATCACATTTGACGCCGTAACCGTGATTTGTGAGCAAACATTGTAGAAGAATCGGTACGCGGCGTAGCGGTAAATCACACGCTCCTGGAAGATATTGTATAAGAAGTTCTTAAGAACTTGAATCCGGATATCTGAGCGCGCTCGCCCTTCACTTCCTGGATACAGTACCATGAGAATGGGATAGTGAGAAGTGAAGCAGCAGCACAAATCCACATAATCGCGTTGAAGCCCATGGTCCACGAAAAAGTGCCGCCGTAATCTTCACTGTTTAATCCGATGCAGCTGAGAAGATGTTGAAAACGTTACGAACTATGTTAACATCTGCTATGACAGTGGCCTCCGGTTCACGCTGAGAGACGTCCATCAGAGCGCCGTTGAATCCACTGTAGGCCAAGACTGTACCGAAGTTTGCGATCATCATGAGGATGATCAGCTTGATACCGCGGTTTGGGGCGTCGGTGTTGAGAGTCGCACGCTGCTCTGGCGTCATGTCGACTGTGGCTATGTCTGACAGCGATGAATCGGTGTAGTAAGGCTCTCCCAGTGGCAGTGCAGCCATCAACAAACACGAGATGAACGACAGGAACCATCCGATCATCATGTATGGTCGGCGACGGTAGCCGAGGATTGGGCAAGTGTCCGTCAACATTCCAGTAAAGAGGCGAAGCGCACGTGGGAACGTCACCAATGGCCTGCTTCAGTCCGAAATTTCCCAAGGAGCAGTAGTACAACGGTGAAGGCGTGTATGCTGTGCGATTCTGGCGCAATAACCGCAGTCGCGTAGTTGTTGTTGACGGTGAACACACGGAGATGAGTCATCAATGGCCACAAGTTCTACATCTCTGGAGCTGGAGACTCGCGTTGCAAGATCATTGTGCTCATGGGCAAGCACACGGAGCGAGCCAAGGAGAGTCCATTCAAGCAGCAGTCGATGATCCTCGTGCCTATGGACACACCAGGCGTGCAGGTCGTGAAGCCCATGCATGTCTTTGGCTACGACGACGCACCGCACGGACACATGGATATGCTGTTCAAGGACGTGCGTGTGCCGTTCAGCAACGTGTTGCTCGGTGAAGGTCGCGGCTTTGAGATCGCTCAGGATCGTCTTGGACCTGGCCGTATCCACCACTGTATGCGAGCCATCTGAGTGCCGACACTCGCCAACCAAAAGAGGGGTAAAAAATAAACGAGTGTGCCCAAAAATAGTGCCAACGCTTAGAATTTGAGAGCCCGTTGTCGACGAAAAGTGGCTACATTATACAAATAGCCATCAGAGAAACTCGAGCTACTGAGGCAGCATGCGCCCAAGCTTTCCTCCATCAGGCTACGCAATTGTGTCTCTTCAGCTGGAGACTACAACGATTGACGCCTTACTAGCCGAAGCTAGAACACGCACATACACCCCTGTTTTTCGGGAAGTTGGAGGCGCTAGCGATGATCCATTTCGGAGTCAGCCACGCGTCGTACGCATGACCTCTACACTACGTGTTGCTGCCAAATCAATTCAAGAGGATGCATTAGTCCGAGACGAAAGGAATGTACCTTGCGTATTTTCCTACATGCACTCTCGTCCTGGTGGAGCTACTCAAGAGGCCCATCAAGATTACACGGCCGAAGTGCGGGCTTCTATCGAGAACAAGTTTCCTGGTACACTTCCTGCGAGTTTTATTGTGGCATTGGAAGAAAACACAAGACTACACGTTTTCACGGGGTGCTTCGAATACCCACGCGCTCGAAAAGAAGTGGTATTGAGCATACCTCGCGGTTATGCTATCGTCTTTCGTGGAGATCTATTTCACAGTGGGGTTGCATTCAGTACTTCAAACTACAGACTTCATTGTTACCTATTTTTCAAAGGTGAGAAATGGGTCTCTGATGTGGTTTCTAACACGTTGTTTGTGTGCCAACCTTTGCCCTTGTCGTTGGTGGGATTCGAGCCGCCGTCAGGTCGCCGCCACTCGAGCTGTACTCCAAGATCCTGGCTCGATCCCGCTTGATGCGCCCCACGACGGTTTTGTGGACAGTAAACTGCAACGTCACCTCCGTGGTGGTAGCGCCTTTGTCGAGCATCTCCAGAATGTCGATCTTCTTCCTTATCGATATGTCTTGACGAGGTTGTCGAGGCTTCGCTTTCGTTTCAGGCTGTGACGTGTCAACAACAGTTTGGGAGCTGGAACTCCCGCGAAGACCAACTTGTATTGCTGATCAGATTGCAAAAGCAAAAGTGAGCTATCTAATTTAACTTGCGGGCGCTCTCGCCTGCCACCTTGGCAGTCCAGGGATAGCCGCCCTCAGAGCCTGCTCTGGTTGCACTCAAGTGCAAGTCCAACAGCAGCTGTGTCCTTTAATATCCGCATGTGTCTTCTTATGATCCAGCTGAACGCTGTTCATACCAGCATCATGATGGAGTTCATGATGTGCTTCACTATACTCCGTTGGAGCACACTCCATGTGTGTTGGCTGCGGATTGTAGGAGCTATTAGAAGATGTGGCTTTACATGCCACCATCACACTGCCCCCCAAGCTTCCTATAGCCGCCATCAACACGTCGCGAATACTTGTCCTTATGATTGCAGTAGTTGTCTAGTCGAACATGCCTCGTCGCATGTGTCGCTATAGCCGGTGCATCAACTTCAACACGTTGCAGTGTTACAGGTTCAGTTTCCGAAGATTTGCAACGATCCAATTTCATCCAACAAATGTCGCTCCAACGGAAAATCCTCCAATCACAGAAGCTGAAATGCTTGAATCCAGATGGTATTGGCAATCCTTCGCCCTGTGACACCAAACTTTGCCAACATGTTCCTTGGCATCGTCACCATTGGTTCTGTAAGTATCAGTCCCCAATCTAATCGAAACCCGCTCTTAGGTGTAAGTCCCTTTCAAGTCGATAATCACATTTAACAGGAAGTGTCCATAACTTCGGCCCTAGACAGAGTTGGACGTTGGCGCGACTAGCGATCGGTAGCTGTTGTTGTAGCGCGTAGGAAGGTGGCATCACCAGTATCAGTGGCGTACTGTAGCACAAGCTGTGGCACATCTTCATTCATGGTCTTCAAAGGCTCCCAGGAGTCCTCGATAGGCTCGAGGCCAAGCCACTTTACCTTCACCTCATAGGCCTGCATGTCTGTGTTCAGTCGATGATCTACAATCGCCTCTACAGCCAGCAGTGTCCCTTGAGAGGCAATGTGATCGAGAAGCTCCTCAGTCACATTGAGCGAGTCGTCAGCATACAGTTTTAGGCGAGATGGATGTACGTCCATTCTTTTTCCATTGACCAAGTGTTCCACAGTGAGATAGTAGTCAACACTGCTAACCACACGGTACGGACCGACCCACATCACACGTAGCTTGTTTGCATGTAGCTTCTCATCGACACGAGAACGTAGGACGTAATCACCGACAGAGAAGTTTATAGGTTGCTCGTGGTGTGGTCGTAGCCGGTACCGTTTGTTCTGGCGTTGTCGCTCGTCCTTGACGGGCTTGTGCATGTTGCGAATGTTTTTTCGAAGTTTGTTGAGTCGCTCTATTGTACTTGGCTTTGGCTTGTCCAGCGTAGTTACATCCCTCCCTCCCGTAAAAAATACCGTGTCTAGTGCACTGGGGCATGGTAGTCCCGTAAATAGCTCGACTGGAGCCCGGTTAGCCAGCGACGGTACCGGGGAGTGATTTAGGCTGGACTGCACCAGCGGAAGTAAGTAAGGCCAATCGTGCAAGCTGACTTTGTACGCCAGTGCCAGTGCCCTTAGTACTTGCAGGATGTCCCGGTTCACGCGCTCTACTGAGCCGTTCTTCCAAGGTGAGTATGCTAGCACGAACTCTTAATGACTTTTCAGCCTTCGGCCAAGTTCCGATACCACCTTGTTTTTAAAGTGCGATCCAGAGTCGCTTACCCACACCCTAGGTGCTCCAAATCGACTGTACCAATCCTCGCTGCAACTTCAGAAGTAGGGCTATCACAAGCCACCAGTTCCGTAAAGTGCGTTGTCTCATCTTTCAGCACGAGCGTGTAGCGGGAGGTGCCGAAAGAATCACCCAGAGTAAAAAAATCCCAGTGTAGCGTCTCGCTCCGTTCGTAGGTGTAGTGAGTTTCACTAAAAGGTCGGGGAATCACTACCCCTCCCTTCACATGTAGGCAGAGTAGGCATTTCGAGCAGAAGGCACGTACAATCCTTGTGAGGCCAGAAATGTGAAACAGCCGGCGTATGTGGTTTTCCATCACATGCATGCCGCGGTGTCCGTTTCTACCACGTGCGCGACGACGAGAAGTCTTTGAATCAAGTCGTGAGCTCCACTTGGTATCCAAATCACGTCATTCATAAGCCATAGTTCATCACCACTCAGTGTTGCACCCTTCATTGCGTCGTGCAGTGATTGCACGCTACCAATCTCCTCGACTGTAGGCCAGACGAAACCGTCCTGGTCTAGTGGGCGTAGCGGTGGAGGCGCTGGACTCGCCTTTGAACCGCTTCCACGCTTGCGATTGGCTCGTGTGAACCTCTTGGCCGAGTGAATACGCGCTCTTGCTAGGGGTTTGCCGCCCCACCTCGATATCAGGTCCGTCCATACGTTGTGAATCCCCTCAATGTGCTCTATAGAGTATCGGTACTCTAATAGTTTAATGGACCAGCGTAAGAGTTTTCCGCGCACATGCTTCTTTAACTCTTTGCCGGGAGCGAAAAGGTAGACGATGTTCCGATGATCGCAGTATAGTTTAAACCCTTGTGGACGAAGCAATATATATTCCAGTCGTTCAGACGCGTGAACGATCGGGAATGATTCCTTCTCGATAACACTCCAGTTAAGAGCTGAGCCAGTAAAACTGCCTCCCATACAGACCAGCAACTCAGGGTCCTGTTGGTGGATCGGAATCTGCGGCTTCCATCGACTCACTTGCGATACAACTAAACCCCAGCCAGAATCAGAGGCATCAGACATCAGTACTAGCTGCTTGGTTGGATCTGGGTATGATAACGTCGCCGAATGTGCCAACAAGTCCCTTACTGTATCGAAACTTTTCAATTCCTCCACTGTCAAATCGATTTGCACCCCTGCTGCAGCTCTCTTGGTTTTTCTAGTACCGACCAAGGCTGCGTCGAGACGTTCTTGTAATGGCTTTGCGACACGAGCGTAGTCAACTAGACTTGCGCGCATCCAATTGGTGGCGCAGAGAAATTGCTGCAGCTCGGCGGCGGTCGCTGGCGGTGGCATATCTCTTAAGGCCTGGATGCGGCTCGGGTCATGACCGATTCCATCCTTGTTGACGATGCGGCCACACCAGTGGACCTCAGTTTGAAACAAAGAGCACTTCTTTGGATTTAGGATAAATCCAAACTCGTCCAGCCTCTGAAGTACGGCATCAATAATTTCAACCAATTTATCAGCGTTTTTGGAAAAAACGAGGAGGTCATCGATCCACACGATGGCATTCGCGTTCACCAAATCACCTAAAACCATTTCCACCGTCGATTGGAAGTGTAGGGCAGCGTCGGTGCTTCCTTGTGGAACCCGAGTTGGCGTGAACACGCCGCGGTCGGTCATGTACGAAAGAAATTCACGGCAGCTCTCGTGTAATGGGAGCTGCCAAAAGCCCTTGAGGAAGTCAAACATCGCGTAGTACATCATTCCTCTACAGTGTTCCAAGGCACCTCAAGACTCGGCATCACACCAGCGATAGGCTCGGTAAGAGCATTTGTCGGTCTATAATCCACTGTTTGTCGGTAGTCATCAGTGCTGGGCTTTTTAACCGGTAAGGCTGGGCAGCACCAGCGGCTCTCACGGTTTTCATAAACCCACCCTAATTCGACAAGCTTCTTGTTAAAAGTATCGAGAAATTCTGATTTTTCCGGGCTGTATTGACGTACTTTGCACCGGTAGGGAGCTGCACCAGGTTTTAGCCGGATTTTTAGAGGAGGAACTCGAGCTGGTGAATCGTTACCAACCTCCAGTCTCCAGCCTCCAAAACGGCGTAAAATAGTGTACAGTCTGGTCGTGATGTATTTATCCACAACGCCACGGTTAGCTGCGTCATGTACCAGAGTATCCACTACCTTCATTACCACATCTTCCTCTGTTGGCTTACAGGTCGGCATACCTTCGGGGTCATCAAAGGTCTCATCATCGTCTCCACGTGTTGCAAGGTATTCC